AGTCCTGCTGTAACTTACTTTTGTGTTAGCTAAATTTCAATAATAGTTGTATCCATATTTACATGTATTATTATTTCTAAAAATTAACTAGGCTAGATTTTTAGCTTCAATTTCAATTTGTCAGAAACTCAACTAGAAAATTCAAATAATGAGAGTTACATTTTTCTCTAAATATAATTATCTATTTTAATGGAAAAGAGACAAAATCATAAGTAATCAAGCAGCAAATAGAAATTTCTTATTAATTTTAATTACTTTCTTTGGTCAAAGCCAAGATTTGGCATGCTTCATTTTCTCAGTAATCAAGTTACCTATGATAATTTATTCTAACATTTATTACTTTTTAATCTAGAGTATATCATTAATCAAATAATGAAGTAGCTGAATAAATATTCCATACTATCTTAAGAAAGTGTTTAGTATGAAGACCCTGAAGTAAATTTGGAATTAAAAAATAATTTTAAAAAATTAGATTAACCAGGCTTAATGGGAGTCAACCAAGCATAGAGACAGGGACTAGCAAGTCAACAGTGGAACAGCAGAGATAAGACCTGAAGTGAGCTGCAGGGTCCATACCCACAGAACGGCCAGATGGGGCACATGGCATGAAAGAGAGAAGAGGAAGAACGGGGCAAAGAGACCCTGAAGGTCTGCAGCATCATGGAAACCTGGACATTGACTAGATGATATTGAAGAGATTTACCCAGGAAGAGAGGTATGAACAGATTTAGACTTTTCAAGAGATTGTTTAGCTGATTTAGGCAAGGGCAAGGAACCATGTCCAAAGCGGAATGAGACCAGTGCAGGGGTTCTGCAGATGATAGGAGTGCTTAGGAGCTGGCTAGGGACAGGGAAGTTATCCCTGCCCTGCCTGCAAATGCCCTCATGAAAGACATCAGGCAGCCATTAGATACCAACGGGAGATTAAGACTGAGCATGCTCAGACTCAAGGCCCCATCCAGGCCCCAAACTAGGCCCCAGCCCATGACATCACCCAGGTGGGCCTAACTCAGCCAATGGGGTCAACTAATAATATCAACCACGCCTCCTCAGCCAGAGGTTTGAAACATCTTGGCTCTGGGAAAGCCTCATTCTTTTTTTTTTTTACCTTGTTCTGGTCGTGTGGCAGGTCAGAGGGTGTTGGGGCGCACCTGTGCCTCCCAGTGTGGTCCCTCAGGGCCTGCCGCTCAGGCCCACATGTGCTTCGGCTCATAGGCTCTTGCTCTCTTGCCCTCTAGCCCCTTGCTCTCTTACTCTCTTGACCTCTCGGCCACCGGGATTTCCCAGTCCCACACACACGGGTGCTCTTTGCCACTTGATTTACAAAACGTTCTTCGAAGCGAATTCTTTCAGCATGCGAAGCAAAGAACCAAGGTAAAACCCACACCAGAAACCTAATAGTATGTTAAAGGAGAGTGGTGATAGTAATCATCTGGGAGAAGCGAACGCATGTCAAATAAAAGATGTCATGTCAAAGAACATGTAAGAGAAGCATAATAAATGTATGAAAAAATGGTGGTTTTATACAGTGTTTTTTATCTTAAAAACTACCAGTTTACAATAAAACAAAACAAAATTCATTCTATGCCCTGTCATATACTCAAAATAAAGGATGTTTAGAATAATTTGCCTCACATCACCACAAACATTTCAAAATAGAAATTTTACAATAGAAAGATGCTAAAAAGTATATGTTTAGTTAATATTCAAAGTATTACATTGTAAAATCCTTCTTTCCTCAGCAATTACACCTGCTTGCTTCTTTACAACTACTTTTTAAGTAGTTAATACAATTACTGAAAATAAAATACAATGTTATTTCACATGCTGAAAGAAAAAACACGCACAAGAAAACTTGATTCTGGGTCACAGCGACCCTCTGAGTGGTTCCCCGGTGCTGTACATCTTTATGAGAGCCAAACGTCTCTACCTTTCTCCCACTGAGCAGTTAATGGCTTTGAACTGCCGAGCTCACAGTTAACAGACCAAGCCTGAGATGATAATGCTACCAAAGCTCCATATTCTGAGAAGTACTAGGAAATATTCTTGACATTTTTGCCTTAGCTGTCATCAATACACCTGTTACCTGCAAAGGACTACCTTTCCTATTTCATAGTATAAGAAAGTCAAAATCCCTCAATTTACTCGTCTGTCCTGCTTCAACCATTATTCTTATTTGTCTAACCCATACCTATTCTTATTTACCTACCGCAACTTCCTGCAAAAGCGTCCATCTTCCTGGCATCTGTCAGGTCCTGGGGAGATGTCCTTTCCTTGAAAAGCGTGGTTGCTGGTGGTGCTCTTGAGTCAGTTCTGAATCACAGCGACAACAGCACGAAACGCTGCCTGGTCCTGCATCCTTGATCCAGCTCCTGTGCAGATCCCTCTTGTCCAAGGGCTTCCTCCTTCTTGATGGTTCTCTGCTTTACCAAACATCATGCATGTCCTCTCCAGGGAGTAGTCTCTCTTGACAGCATGTCCAAAGCACACGAGACAAAGTCTTGCCATCCTTGCGTCTAAGAAGCATTCTGGCTGTACTTCTTCTGAGATAGATTTGGAAACTAATGGCGGGCAATCACTCTATCATTGCTCAGGATAGCGTTCCCAATATCAACTGAGGCCATAGCTACCACCAAGATACCTTTTTCTATGTTATTAACCTTGCCCTTCGTATTTCTTTCCCACCAGCATATAAATATTCATATCTCTAGTATATTAATATCATCCTCTACACCTCTTCTAACACTTCTCTCTCTCCTGTCCTTTAATGGTATTTTTCTACAGTGTCATCAAAATATATGTAATATTCCTTTGCTCATTTGATGGTCAGGCACGTTTTTCCTGTTATCCTCATTTTAAAGAAGAAATGAGGACAGCAAAGCTAAATAACCAGCCAAAGTTTATCTCCTAAGGGTTGACACAGAATTCAAATCAAGATATGCTAGTTTACACTTTACTGTTCTTTGTATTATAAGACCTGGTGCCATTCATGTCACTAACTGGAATTACTAGCTTTTGTGTTTGTTTTTCCTCACTAGTAATATACTTATCCCACATTATATAAAAAGAATACCAATGAAAATCGAAAAAGCAAAATATTCTTTTAAAATATGTGATAGTTACAAAATGAAAGTTAATATTTTGATGATATTTGCACCTTACAAAATGAAAGTTAATATTTTGATGAAATTTTCAGAGTTGACTCAAAGTAATAAATTGACTAAAATGTATCCTTGAGGGTTTTGATAAGCTAGGGACATTTATTCTTAGTTTTAACCTATAAAAATAACAATGCTTTATTCATGCCTTTATGATAGTACTTTAACAACATAACATAAATTATACATAAAATGTTTTAATAAAACTGGTATAACATATTTTAGTGAGGGAAAGTAAAAATATGATAAAGAAAATACATATTTTATGAGTTTATCTAAATTAAGTCCCATCAAAAACAAATAGTCCATAGAATTTATAAAATATTTGATAAGTAAAGCTTTGATTTACATAATTCAATAATATAATGATTAGTGTCTGAGGTAATTAGTATTAAAAACTATAAATATTATTACTCATAGTAGATAATTACTGGTTGTGTACCATTATAGTCTTATTTTTCAATTTCTTGGCTCTTTTTTCAGTTAATTTAGAGAGATGTCTTCAATAAAAGTAAGTTCTTAATGTTAATACACCCTTATCACTAACATCTGCATTGTATTGATTTAGCCAGTATTTATTTATTAATTGTATTAATTTATTCATTGAAAGCCTTTAATGGGCTAGGACCTATGTCAGGCACTAGATGTAAAAGATGCAAAAGGAGCAAC